GCTAATAATCAGGAACTCCAAAACGAGGTGTCCAGATTGAGACAGAAAATGTCCGAACTTCAAAGTAAATTGTAAGAAGCTTAACTATTATCTAGAATGGTTAAGTATCAGTAGGATAATTTTCCCGACTAAAACGATTAACAGGTTTCATGCCCACGGTAAAGCGAGGCGATTGATCTTTGAACCTTATCGTTGTTAGCGAAAAAGTTTCTGGCGTTTTAATCCGTTAACCCATCATAACCTATGAAACCTGTTAATTAACAACCCGTCAACGTACCCTAACCGCAATGTAATTTTTTTTCTTTCTCTTCTCTAAACGACGCAGATCTTCTGAATCGACGAAACTTCGGCAATATCAAACTCAAGCCGCGGAATATTGTAAGCAAATCAGCGAACTACGTAGACAAGTTACGCATGAAAGATTTGATCGTGCGAGGAAAGAAGAAGAACATCGTAGCAGGTACGTACATATCGGGAACTCGGAATAGACGAATATTTTGTTCGTTGTATGATTTTTAGATACTCGGAAGGTCTCCCTGATCCGCTCGTCCAAACTCCGCTTCCCAGTCAAACTAACGATCCTAATGAGACGATCCTAATTCCTAATGAGACGATCGATGTAAATCACAGGTAGAAACATATTTGATGAAATAGTAACGACTTTAGATGCAGAGGCGGATTTCTTCGTTGTTTCCATACAGTGTGTCATAAAATTGATATTCTTCCTGGACACGTTTTTCCGTTTTCCGTTTTCCGTTTTTCGTTTTCCGTTTCCGTTGTAAAAAGTCGAAAATTTGAATTTCAACCAAGTCATTTTCCCCCTCTGCATTATTTTCTCAAGTTCAAGTGATAAAAGCGAAAACTTAAACTGCCAGGCAAGTAGACTGGCTGAAGAAACCTTACACCGCGATCCCCAAATATCCCCGTACACATAGTGGCACGCGATCGGTATTCGAGAGACATTCTTTTCCCTTGGATTGCAAGTGTTTGCCATCGAAAAATGTCTTGCACCATCCATCGTCGAACAAATCGCCATTTGCGCCTTGTATTAACGAAGCGGACGTCTCGAAACAGAATGATTTTAACAAATGTCCAAAGCCTTTGTGATTGTACTAAAAACTATTTTGTATATGTCCTGTAGTAGTAGTATAGCCCTACTAGTAATTTTAATACAATATTTCTTTGCATAGAAATAATAAATAAATTTCAATGCTACGTCAAAGAGTATAATAATTTAAATTATAAATTTATTCCTGCGAATATTATTCACAGGACAGAGATCGACAATAAATTGCCTAAAAAGATCTCTTGATGCTTTCCACTCGTTCAAATCTTTTTCGTTTTTTTTATTTGCAGGTCTTTTAATTCAACGCCAGACAGTTTTAACGTAGATTCAAATATGGTCGTATAAAGTCGTTTAACCTACTCTAATCAATATAGATATTTACAGAATGAAACAAGCAGAGAATGCGATGGTCAGACTGAAAAACACGGAATGAAAATGATAAATCCTATCGCTGTGTCACGCTCAAGATGCTTAAATCTGCAAAATAAACTCAAACGCAGTAACCATGCGAAAGATGCTCAACGTGATGTTCCTTGTATAAATATAATTTTACGATCAGATTGCAAAATACATTCAAATCGATATAACCGTCTACAGAAGGAAAGTACCTCGCTATTTCAACCTAATGCAGATTCGATCAAAACTACTCTCCAATCATCGAATACGCTACAATTCTATTTGTTTAACAAAAAATATAATCACACTGCCTTTCGTACAAAGAGTTGCTTTGATATGTCGCAGTCAGTAGGAACGCACTATGAAAGAAAGTACGATCGAGATAACGATGGTTTAATCTTTAATAATATTTCACAACTTAGATACAATAATAATCCATCATTTCTATGTCATCCTGTTCGATCAAACGAAATATCGGATAATAACACGTTTCGATCGAATTCACTTAAGACAAACTTATTTTCCCAAATTAATGGAACAAAACAACTAACACCGTTGAGCAAGGATACAGTGAGAAATTTAGGTGTAGATGATATTAAAGCGAATTTTAACGCGAGCAAACTTGTTGGATGTCCCGTGAAATTTTCTAAAAAATTGCCTACCAACAGTTTCCCGGTAAGAAATTTGGCTAGTAGCATGAAACAAATAAACGGTAGCAATGGAGTTTCTAAAATGATAAAAACAGATTTATCATTAAATTCGGCACAAATTTCTACTGTTAAAGAAAATTCTATTAAGCTTCTAAGTCTTCCTACGAATTTCAAATCACCTTTGGAGAATTCTACAAATTTACAATTAAAATCTCCAAATATGCTACTGAATTCCGAATTTATGAAATTGGGAAGTTTAGTTACACCTATAACTGATAGACCGTGCACAGAACTTTTTTATGCGAGTTCTCCTACAGCTTCCGACGTTACCAGAAATTTCATGAAAAATAACGAGATTGAAAGCAATATCTGCATTAATGAAACGATCAGTACATGCAAGGACAAGTGCGAAGAACACAAACCAAAAGCAAATTGTCAAAAAGATAAATTTGATAGAAGTACATTGGTAAGTGAAAAATTTGCAAAATTTTCAATCCCGGAAACTATAGATATCTGTACAAATGTAAATTGTAATGAAATTAACTGTTCCATGTTGAATGCAAAACGAGACGAATATGAAGACAGATTTTCAAATATTAGAAATATAAATGATTACGAGTGCGTGGATAAATGTACAAGTACAATTGACAATGCTTTAGACATGCTGCAAAATATGCTGAAGAGCGTTAAAAGATTCAGAGATAAAGATATGAAAAAATGTAATGATCAAAATTATCAGTTCAAAGAAGTAAAATGTAAAAATATGGATTGCATCTACAAGAACGAAGGAAATAAGGTTCTCTTAGCGAAAATAAATTCAGCAGAAATAATGAGACCAAAGTGCATGAAGATGTTACAGGAAATAAAAAAACATGCCGATACATTAGAGGAAGAATTAACCACTGTGAACAAAAGTATAAGAACTAAGAAAAAGAGAAACGAAAAATTAGTTGCAGAAAAATCTAATGTTAAACAACACAATGATATGATTACACAGAATCCTGAAAAGAAAAATATTTATATACAGGAACCATGTTCACACGATGATATAAAATATTTTCAAAGTCCGCTATTAAGACTAGAAACTAATTTTAATTCACAACATGTTAAAGGACCAGATGTGATCCTTTCGCGAATCCATAAAAAAGGCATCTATAAGAAAGATCACAATAAAAATGATAACAGTTATAAAAGAAATAATATTAAATCGTTGATATATCCTGGCGATAACTATTCAACAAATGTGAAAAATGCCCATGTTCAATGTGCAAGATCCGTGTCTTTCCGCATTTTTGATTCGTCAAATTTTAGGCCAATTGTTACGTCCACGCCTAGAAATATCGATGCACCAAAGGACAAGGAAACTCTTTGTTACATATCAACTTGTACCCAAACAACTTCCATACCCGAAGAAAGTTTACAAATAAAGCAAGTCAAGAAAACTACGTCGACTGAATTAAATGATTATTCGATAGCACAAGAAAACAAGACGATCAATTCAGTAAATGTAAATAAAGAAATATCCTCATGTTGTGATGAAAAAGCAATTATAATGCTATTTTTAACGAAAAACTTGAGTAGTAAATGTTTGAAGACTAAATATAAAAGATCGGAATTCTTAAATTTTAGGTCAAAATGTTTGACCGGTACATGTGTTATATGCGGTAAGAAGAAATTGATTAAATATGGTTTGTCCAGGCGAAAGAAGCGAATACCTGCAGCATTTAAATTAATGTCTGTAACATATAAAAGTGAAGCTGTTCGCTCTAATGGAAATTATTGCGGCTATGAAAAGCGCTCAGTGAATAACTGCAAAGTATCAGATTTATTAAATACTGTATACACGCAATCCTCCAATTTACAGATCACAACTGCCACCTCAGTTCCTTGTATCTCGGTTGGCAACACAAATAACATGAAAAATTTTGATGAAGAAAGAATAGCAAGAAATGACGGCTGCATATTAAGTTAACAATCGATAGGAAATAAAATTGATAATAGAGCGCAGTTATCTATTGAAATAAATGTAAATCATAGTACACCAGTTGTAAGATCTTAATATATAACCTAATTCTAATAATAACAAACAAAGCTTAGTTATTTGCAAACAAAGCCTAAGTTGCTTGCAATTTTCTATTTTTGTGGGGTGATATCGATCGTATGTAGTAATATAGAGAATAAAAATGTTTTTATATTATGATATCTAACAGGAATGAGATCTGAGGATAATATTTTTCACTGTAACTTTTAAGATTATTGTAAAATTTTAAGTTGACAAGTTAGTGTTGTAAAATTTTTAGTTGACAATAAGACTGCATTATCATTACTATTTAACAGAAATTGTTATTATATTGTACGTATGACTGATATATCATAGAGAAAGCTTATTGTATTTGTCTATATAATTTACTTCCGCAATTAATAAAGTAAAAATGTGATTGTAAAATAATAAAATGTACGATATTGTTTATTGTCAATACCAAATTTTATGAATTTCTTTTCCTTAGCGCTTAAGATATCGTTTAGCACTTGAGAATGATATTTGTCGAAGCATCCTAGGAAACCTAAACCGTTAGCTGTATATCATTTTTACATAATAAATTTTGCAGATATATCAAACTTCAGGAAGATGCAAATTTTTGGATCGCAAAATGTCAAAATAAAGAATATAACCAGTATACAAAGTAATTACTGTCTGTATTTAACTCATTTTCCAGAATATATGTATATGTGCAGATGGAAATGTAGCAAAGCGAAAGCAAAATATTTTGTTAGTTTAACTAAGGATAACCTTCGTTATTAAAGATTTTTAATCAGGTACGCTGAGACTTGCTTCCGTAAGAAGTATATAATGCAGTCAGAGAATAAATATTCAAATAACTCGTACGTTTAATTTCAACGATTTTTTCCTTTTGTATTTAGTAATTTATTATATCATTCTTTTATTCCTTTACACATATTGTTATGATCTCGATGATCGTACGAAACGGTGAACATGTAAACTAGGTAATTACAAATAATAAAAATAAAAAGCCTCTCATAAGATTTCTCTTCTAAACGTTCAGCTATTCAATTTGATTTATGTATGTATGTATATATACATATATAATATATATAATATATATAATATATATAATATAATATATATTTTATATATATATATAATTATATGTATTTTATATATATATATAATATGTATAATCTATATATAAAATACATAACAGAGGCTCGCACAATGTATTCATCGTTTTACAATTCACGATATTTAAATTATCAGTTTCTTTCTTCGTTACAATCGGTGCCAGCCAGTTTTCTCTTCTCAGCGTCCGCTGTATATCGATTCGGTAATTACAAAAATTTCTCTTATGTACCTTGCAACTCCCTACGTCTTGTCATAATCCTACTATAATACAAAAATTCTTCCTCACTTCGCTTCGCCAGACATTTAATCTTACACCTTTAAGAAAAATTTACACAGAACTCGCAACATCATGAATGAAATACAGGTATTATGTACAAATATTTATAATTATACATATATACTTTATTTCTTGTGGACGTTATTCGAATACGATCGTCCAATAACTTTTTTATTCGCGGATCCCGCCTAGATAGCTGGGTAACTCGATGACTTGTAAATGCAAACCTATTCGCACGATCTTCATTGTCGCGTCTGATAACGTAAAAAAAATATATATATATATACATATATATACATATATATATTTTTTTTTTTCGTTTAATTTCTTCTTTTCAACGTTTGAGAAACAAAACAGACATCTTTTTTTTCTCGTTTAAATTACAACACATCCCAACGAATATAACTAACTTTTCCAAATAGAAAAATGTAGTCGCTTTTACTCTCTCGATCTCGCAAAACAACTAAAATTACCATTTCATGGTACACTTACTTCCGTTACCTCATCTTTTTTATACAGCTTATGATACAAAGAAGTCGATAATATTTCATTAAAATTTTGGACAAGAACAAAATGCTTTGTTAATCACGCGCCACGAGAAACACTCGCGCCTAAAGTAATCGCTTGCAAATTCATAGAAGCATCGTATCAGAATTTCAAATGAAAGTATCGTACCGTTGAAACTTTTGTCACTTTTATCTAAAACAATAAATTCTTATTTAAAAAGAAAGGAAAAATAAATAAATATATAGAACAGAATGTTTGCTCCGAAACTTTTGATTTCCGAACGACGTTCAATTCGTAATGTTCGTTGGAATTAAAATAAAATTGTTACATATGATCGTTCTATTTGTCCATTTGTCATTATTGTAAAGTACTTAAGATCTTTAAATTCTTTAATTATTGGCAAACTGCCTTGATTGGAAAGTGCTTTTTTAGTTTCTTCACACCCAGCCATTCTTTCTTTAGTGCTGAAAATTTGAAAAACACTGGCTTTAAGAACATTTAGGCCTTTCTAAGTTCCAAGTATAAATATACTTACATCTGTATCGATAATATACGGACAAGTCGGAAGCAATAATTGATCTTGACTTGATCGAATCGAAGTGTGTGCAGCATTTTATGGATGCTTCTCGTCATTTCTCAGAATTCCATGACTCGCACAAACCGGGCCATGTTAATATGCGTAGATGAGAATAATAATACGATCGAGGAAATAATTCAACACGACACGCTCAGTTTGCCCGAAAAAGTAGAAAAGTTTCTTACTAAGAGTATCTCTTTTTACGATTTCAAGTTAGATACAGAGGTCGAACAAGTGGCTAAAAGTCCCCGAGCTAAAACCGATTTAAAGCAGAAGAAGTTCTTAGAGTTTTTAATACACGATGGACTTGCGGTCGAAGTACGCCGTCATCGTCAAGCTATGTGCGATGCCTTACCAACGTTATATCTTGACAGAATAAGATTACTCGATAATAAAATAAAAGAGAGACGATAATATAGCCATGTAATTGCAATATGCAATTATATAAGCAAAATCATAAATTCCTAACAAATACATTTCATAAAAAGGTTTTCTTTACATTCTAGATTTTCTTGTGGTTGACTTATGAAAAACATACAATAATATTAATAATAATTAATAATAATAATAATAATAATATAATATAATAATATAATATTCATTGTAATTAACTATAACGTCCATAAAGTATTTTCTTCGTCCTTCATTTTTTGTACACGATTACTAAAAACATTTCTTCCGCTTCTTGTTGAGAAAATAAATATTAATATTAAATTTGAAATATTATCTCGTTTTTTGTTTGCTTTTTTTTCTTTTATCACTGATCTGTAATCACTTCAACTACTGTCTTTCGTTCGTGTTAACTAGTTACAGTACATTATTATAGTCTAAATCGGCAAATCGATTTGCTTAGTAAGTTTATAGGCCTCTTTAATAATTCTGGAACATTGCCGTATCCTCTTCTCTACTAGTATATCCTCTTCGTCATTTACATCTTCCCTTTTTCCATACACCGCACAAGCACACCTTTCTTTTGCAATAAATTGCAAACTTTTAGCATCCTTTCTACCATATTTCTGTTGTCTCACTTTACACTAAAATTCAAAATAAACGAGTTGATCGCTGCTCGCAACGAGAAAGAGCTTTCTTTTAGAGGCCTGGTTCGAGAGGTCACCTATGGTTACTGCTGCTTTGATCGTTCATATCGTACAAAACTTGTGCGATTGTTCTCGATGATTCGACATTACTTAATGCGACACCTGCCAAATGTGGTTCGTACGCTCTAAGATGCCTGAAAATCAAAATATCAGCAATAGTTGTAAAATGTGTAAAATGTGTAACATATATCCTTAGTACAATCACTTGTTCACTTGTTGTTACAAAAAGATCTCGTAGAAATGGGATAAAATTACTTAATTAAAATGAAACAAATTATCTAATTTTTTAATTGAGGTAAACCGACAAGATGTTGGAAACAAAGTTTACCTTCTGCCATGTGTTGAATATATGACTAGGTTTCTAAGAATGAGAGCTGCTGTCAAGCGAATACTTTTGGTCACTGGACCTTCGTTGTCATCCTGTCGAAAAATCACAAAACAATTAAGTATTTACTTTACTTTAAATTATATGTTAAAGTAAGAAGATCATCTAGCCACACTTTTAAGTAACACTAAAACAAATATAATATATCAGAGTATAGCTATTATTTCATGATGTTTGAATCAATTAGTTGCAACAGCTTCGAACATTAGTAAAATACAATTATGAAAACAAGGCGGAAACATTGATTTACGATATGATGTCGCACGTGAATAGATTGGACAATTTCTACGAATATCAAATTACTCTTTTATGTGAACAGAAGATACACTGACATCATGAGTCATAAAATATATATACAATTTCTGATGCTAATAAGTAATTTAATGTGAAAACAAAAAATTAATTGTAGCATGCTTTAAAAGAGTTTCCAAAATCGCTAATAACACAAACAAAGTGATTTCATTTAAAATTACTACAAATACGTATATACAATTGATATTGATAAATTGACCACCAGACAAATATATCTTTTTTACTTTTTTTTTTTTTTTTTGGTGCCAAAGATATAAGTAAATGTACATATTCGTAAAAATATATAGATATATATATATCGTTAAATTCATTATTCGTAAGACGTATTATTCGTTCCTCTTATTGTTCGTTAAACTTATTATTCTTTAATCTAATTATTAATTAAACTTATCGTTTGTTAATCTTATCATTTATTAAACTCATTATTCATAATATTTTGTTAAATCTTGTTTATTTGCGTAAATATATTCTCTGTTTCGTAAAACAACGGCTAATTCAAACGAAGAATCATTACGCGCCTTAAATCCTAATGATAACCCGACATATATATATATATATATATATATATATATATATATATATATAATATATGTATTCTATATATTTCTGTATGTATTCTATATATATGTATAATATATGTATTCTATATATATATATATATATATATATATAGAATATATATATATATATATATATTCTATATATATATATATAATATATATAATATATATATATATATATATATATATATAATCTATAGTTATATATATATATATAGTTTTTACGTATCTTTGTAAACGCAACTGTTAATTAGTAATCCAACATACATAGAAAATTTCTTTTCATTAAAAATCGATAAAGAAACAAATCTTCGTATTTTGATATAGATACAATCGTTAATTTTTTAATCGCGATTAATACAAAAGGTGGTTGCCCTGTATCAAAAGCGCGACAAATATTCTACGTTATGCTTCTTAAAGTATTATATACCAGCACCCTTCATCATCATGAATACACTTCAACTGCGTGAACACATAAATTATACAGCGACGCCAGCTACGAAATGAAACTAAAATGAAATCCATGCTAATAGAACATACGTACGTATACAACGAAAAATGTGAAATTAAAAATTAAAAGAACACAACGTATGTTACGAAAAACAAAAGAGATGTAGCGCAAAAAAAAAAAAAATAGGCGGCAGGAACAGCGCACAAGGGCTGTGGCTGTGAATCGTGAATCCTTTCTTTTTTCTTTTTTTTTTTTTTTTTTCAATTTCTGAACACGTTTTTACCTGTTCTGGTGGAGGATTTTGCCCAGGTCTGGGGGAAGAAGAGCTTGAAGTGGCTGCAGCGGGCTTGGTCGGCCTTTGCTGCTTTGCCGAGAGAATAAGAAATTTCATTACATTAACAAAACTCAATAGACTCTATGAACCGTGGGACTATAAAGGATTCTCCGAAATATTGACACAGTTTATATCATTAAACGCGTTATCTTTGACATTAATATATCGTGCTATCTCGCGTAATAATTTTAGTGCATTTGTTACCCCATGATTAAGAAGTGTTTTGTGCTTCTTTCTTTTTACCGAAATTACCACTAACTTACAGCTATTTGCATTATCGTAGTTCATTGTAACTTGTGTAACTTTATATGTGATCTTACTAACCATTAACTCCTTTGGATTTACAAATTCCAATGCGTGCCGTTTAATAGCATGGAATGCTGCATTCGGTGCATACCCAGGATGATGAGGAGCTGACGGTGTCGACGTGGAAACTTCGGTTTTGCCTGTTACCGTCAACTGTTTCCTTCTTATCGACATTGTCTGTAAAATTGTTAGATATATAGCTTTTATAGCTTTAGTTCTTAGGTTCTCTTAAGACTTTTTTTCTTTTCTTTTTTTCTCTCCTCTTTTCTTTTCTTTTTCTTTCTTTTTTAAGACGATATCAATACATACCTCAGCGTTACAATGCCTATCGTATAAATGTGTCATTAACGAAAATCTACGTCTTTTTAAGGCATCGCAACTCGCCCAAAGACATAATATTTCCTCTCCACCAGTTGGACAATGTGCCTCACACACATGAAGATAAACTTCGTGCGGTGTTTTAAATTGCCTGTAAATAAAGAAACGTATGTATTAGATAATATTAAACGACGCGACTAATTCAATCTTTACTAAGCTTATAAAAACAAGAACTGGTATTTTTCCCTTTACTTTAAAATGTAGCACATTTGTCGTAAATTCTTAAAGTTCACTCTTAAATTGCCTTATGCCGAGAAATAGTCAATTACCTTAAACAACCCCGCCATTCGCACAAATAAGCATTAGGATCGATTTTGATGGTGATGGTCTTTTCTGGTTGATTCTGGCTCGTAGACGGCTTGGATTCCGGTTCTGTGGAGGTTGAGGAACTGACAGTCTTCATTACTTTAGCAGGTTGTTTCGCCGGCAATCCATGCGTTGCAGCTGCTTGATGAGGCGTGGTAGGTCTGGTAGGGGGTGGAGTAGAAGCCGGTGTTGGTGTCACCACTCTCGATGGTACACTAGTTGACACTGGTGTTTGTTGGGCCATTGCAGGAATCGTGACAGTCACTGTGTTGGGATTTGTTTGTGCCACGGAACTGTTCACTATTATAGAAGTTTGTGGAATTGTGCCTGACGTTGGAACCAAAGGCGGGGGTATATTACCGAGTGCCGGACTTTGCAAGATAGGACGTGAAACTTGTGTAACAACAACCTGTTGTCCCTGAGGTGTGACGGCCACCATTTTTTGTTGGGTTGGCTGCGCAGCTGCTTGAGATTGCAAAATAATTATCGTTTTTGCACCAGTTCCTTGCTGCTGTGTCGTCTGAGCTACTAACACAGTCTGCGCTTGACCCTGAACCAATGTCGTTTGCGGTTGAGCTAGGACGTAATTTTGACCAGGCACGCCGCCAGAAACAACGTACTGTAATTGACCTCCTGCTCCTTGTTGCAATAAAACTTGCGGTTGCGGTTGGGCCTGTCTTCCTTTCACTGGACCGGTTGGTATAATAACTTGATTATTTGGTTGAATCGTTTGTTGTACTACTATCTGCCTAGGTGCTGTAACGATAAGTTGTTGTGGCTGCAATTGTGGCTGCTGTTGTTGTTGCTGTTGTTGTTGTTGTTGTTGCACTTGTGGTTGCGGGTGTTGTGATTGTGGTGGTGGCTGTTGCGGTTGCTGCTGTGGTTGCTGTTGCGATGGCTGCTGCTGTTGAGGTGGTTGTTGATTAAGCTGATTGACGAATATGTGAGGTTCCTCTTTTATCGTGATAGGTTCCTCTTTCATCGTGTTGACAGGTTCCTCCTTTATAGCGATAGGTTCTTTTATAGTAATAGGTTCTTCCTTAACACTTACATTAACGTTCTCGTCAAGATCCGTTTCGTCTTCTATACAATCCGCGGCCAGAGCAGCATAAAGATTCGCGGCTGTAGAAGATACGGTTACTTTCTCGTTATCTTTATCATCGTCCTGTTCTTCAGACTTTATACTCGAGACAGTAGATTCGGCGGTAGTCGAATCAACAGCAAGATCCGGCGACATCGTACCATTGGAATATTTTACTTTCTTTACATCTACTTCATCTAATTCGCTGGCAGATCGTTTTATCCCTCTGGGTGCTTCGATCAAAGTATCCTCGGAGACCTCCGTCTCCTCTACTTCAGATTTTATTTTAATGTCAGTAGGAGATTCTTTTAGTACTTTCTTAATGTGATTTTCTACTAAGTCCATTCCCTTGTCATTGATTGAATTTTTGCCTAACACGCCGTTTAAGATCGGCTCTTTGTCAACTTTCCTTTCTAACAAATCTGCGAGCATCATACTTTGCAGGGGTTTTTCTTTAGACGTTACACTAGACGAATCTTTCGAAGATCCATCTTCCTGCGCGTCGATGTCCATATTACTTGGTGCACCGTTTAACAGAATTCCCTCGAAACTCGTCAAAGAATTGTCCTCCTCTATACCGACACCAGAACAATCCCTACTACCACCGATACCACTACTGGATGCCAAAGAATTGTTGGTCGAGTCTGAATCTTCGGCGATCGATGTACAAGTCGAACGTTGGATCGCTTTGTTTGCTGTAGTTACGGTTATAGTTGGAGGCCGACATACTTTAATAGTTGACGATATGTGATTTTCGGTTGAGTTCAAAACCACCGTGGAAGAAGTTGTCGATGTTACGATTTGGTTGACATTCTCATTATCATTTACTTCAGTCTGCAATATAGAATCAAATGAGTATAACTAACTAAATTTTAAAAATTATAAAATTATAAAACGTCTGCATGGTTTGCCATAAAATTCATGTTGTACCTTGTCACAATTATTAGTGATAATAAATTTGGCCCCGTTGAGCCTTTGTATCTTCTTGGCAGGAATGGGTGTGATAGCTGGCTTTTGCTTCGAGTTGACAGGAGTCTTTGGGAGTATTGTGGTTACGCTAGTCGTAGTTGTAGGTGGTTGCGATATATTGGTTAACTGTTGTTGCAGTAGCCTTTGTTGTTGTTGACGTTGCGCAACCTATATAAATAATACAAACCGGAGTTACGAGAGTAACTTTTCATATCTTTCTTCAAGAAATATTAATCCTTGTATTTTTTTCTTCATTATTATAATAAAAGAAAATAACTCCAATTTCGAAAACCATGCTTTTGTTAGTAATATATACAATACGCTATTATTTTCACTCTGAACTAAAAAAAAAAAAAAAAAAAAAAAAAAAAATTGTTAAATATCACTAAATTTGGCCCCGTTGAGCCTTTGTATCTTCTTGGCAGGAATGGGTGTGATAGCTGGCTTTTGCTTCGAGTTGACAGGAGTCTTTGGGAGTATTGTGGTTACGCTAGTCGTAGTTGTAGGTGGTTGCGATATATTGGTTAACTGTTGTTGCAGTAGCCTTTGTTGTTGTTGACGTTGCGCAACCTATATAAATAATACAAACCGGAGTTACGAGAGTAACTTTTCATATCTTTCTTCAAGAAATATTAATCCTTGTATTTTTTTCTTCATTATTATAATAAAAGAAAATAACTCCAATTTCGAAAACCATGCTTTTGTTAGTAATATATACAATACGCTATTATTTTCACTCTGAAAAAAAAAAAAAAAAAAAAAAAAAATAATCATTGTTAAATATCACTTGGAAATTTCAATTGAACGACGAAGACAAATGTAAAATTCGTCTCTCGAAATAAAAGAAAATAGCATAACAAAAACATAATATTGGTAAGTACTTCAAAACGTTGGAAAACTCATTGAAATCAAATTTGTTAAGACATACATTCACTAAGTACGTTTCCAAGTGCGATCTTATCCTGTAAAATGGTTTCTTTATAATACAAACGAATAAACATTATTTGAAATTCAAATTTAATTATCCTACGCACATATCTGTCATAGCATTCTACTTAACGTAGTAATTCAATCACGCGTCATGCTTCGTCTCATATCTTTTCCTTTTGTATAGAAAATATCTCTTTAACCATCCTACAATCTATGGTTGCACTTCAATGTACTAAGATCCTTTTAAAACTCAGTGTCCTATAAATATAAAAAAATACTACAGTTTTCATTGTTAATGTACAACAATGATACCTGGTTGCTGGTTATTAGCTGGTTGGCACTGATGCTGGATGCGATGCTAGCAGTAGTGTTTGTTACACAGGCAGTAGGGGTAGTCACACAAGTCGCAGCAGTACTGGGCATGCAGTCGCTGCTGACCGTTACCTTAGTAGCCAGAAGGCTTTTTATTATGGAACTGGATGTGGTACCACTTCGATTATCTTCCTTTGCAACTACCTGGACCGTTTGACACTGTTGCTGTACTTGCTGGACTTGTGGTTGAGGCTGTGTCTGGGAACCACTTGACAGCAACGCTTGACTCAGGTGAGGATGCGACACTGACACCTAATCAACAACGAAGGTAATGTAATTACAAGAACGTTGCGACATATCGTAACATCATTATATCACGGAAATATCGATTCGTTTAGCTTTAAATGGAATCTACAGAGGCCGCGAGAGTTACATACTTAAACAGTAATACTCTAGTTGGCGTTATTTGGAAAGTATTACGCTGCAAGATAGTTTATATATTAGATATATCGTGTAGTACGTGAATGATTCAGCTATGTTCCGCGAACAATTTTCAACACCGACGATAGCGAATCTCATAAAATCTGCAGCAGCATTTTGTTTATTATTAAGCATGAGATGAATTGACGTAACATAAATTGATTCAATCAAATACAAAATGTATACTTGTTATAGAAGAATATCATCGTAGCATAACAGGGATATTGTATTATATTATGATAGAAATATCATACAAGCTGCATAAAGATTATTCGAATCAAAGAATGCGTATTTGTGAAACAATGATACGTCGATCATGCAAAGATAAAACTTTTTAGCCAACATCGCATCCGTAACTATTACCGATAAAAGTGTAAAACAGACAGAATTGTAAGCTTTAATCGATATATCAGACGAAATGATCGGATTTGAGCAGAAACTATTATTTGTAAATAGCATTTATAATAAACGGTATATAGTAGCGCTATAATAGCAATTTTCGCTTAAATTAGTATTTATATACTATATTTATATATTTAACAAGCTTCGTTCTGTTATACACATCAGCTAACAGTTGGACCCTACTTATTCGAAGCGAAGAATGGTTATACATTTTTCTACATTTCATATAAACACGTTAGACATTAAAACGCTTCTTTACCAAGGCAAGAAAGTTTTCGGAAAAGTGAGCGGATCGATGATCCGGATTTTACACTGTTCGCATATTTACTTATCTGCATGCACATATATCGACGGATTCGACACGGGATTCGAAACATGCAAAATGTAAGTTTGTTAAGGGAAGCCCACATTATAACAGCATAGTGAGACCATAACGAAAATAAGAACCAAGGTCATGAGTGGTAGAGAGAATGGTAGAAAGCTTAGGACTTGGACCCACCTGACTTTTAGAATCAACCTTGGTGACTGGATTTTGGGATTGAGTTGCAGTGTTCGAGATACTGGATGGTGGTTTCGGTGGAGCAGACAATTGGGCTTTTAGGATAGGTGACGCTGGGGCAGGGGTTCTTGGAGGCCCAGATGCAGGATTGTCTAGGGCCGTGCTATCAGGAGCAGGACTTATACTCTTGATTGTACGCTGTTGTACGGGAAGCACCTTTACTGGCGTTGTGTTGACTGCTGGAATTGGAGCTGTGTTAGTCCCAACCGCAGTTTGGCTCGGATAAGTTACTTGGGGAGGTGTGGCCCGTACTCGGATTCCTTCGTAATACTGAGTACCGCTTGTTTCACCTTTCAACGGATTTGGTCCGACGCTTCCACCAAATACAGATCTATAGGGGAACAGTTTCGCATCGATAAATTGATTTTCGTGCGATACAGCTTGAGCGAATGTTATTTCGTTGGGGAAAATCAGGGATTACCTAACGCATCGTGGAAAGTGAAGCGGAGCAATAACGCCTCTTCTACCGATCTTTGTGCAGCAACCGAGATACTTTTTGTATAACTCTTCCTGTTCTATACGTACGCCGAGCGCAGGTTCGAAGGTAGCTCTTAACCAACTGAGAGCGAACTGCTCGTTTTCCTGTATGATTTGTTGATGCGCGTGCTGCTGTTGAAGCGAATTACTCGTCTCCACTGCTTCTAAACATAGACATAGAAAGAAGACAATATCAATATATCGTTATCTATCGTTGGGTTCTCTTCGACGATGTACTTGATTAGTTTGATACGTACTGTGTGTCGTAGATTTTGTCGCAGTGGCGGCTGGTGTCGTTGGTCGCGACGGTGCTGGACTAACAGGAGCTGGTGTCGCGGTGACTGTAACCGGTGTGGTTGGTACAGAGGAGGACACTGTCGTAGCTGGGGCAGTAGCGGTAACCGGAGTGTTCTGAGCAGCATTAGGTGGTGGTGCTACCGTGGACACTGTCTCGATTACCCTCATCAGAATGCATGCTTTTGGACCGTAACTTTGCGCTTCTACGGTAACAAGAGCGACCAACGTGTCGATAGCTCCGCGTACGCGCGCGACACTGGTACATGGCCTTTCACCTAACGAAGTCAACGCGTACAAACATTCCAAGGTATACACCAGAAGAGCTATGTCGTTCAGGGCTAAAAACCTATGGAAAAACACAAGTTCCTATGTAGCGTACAAGTTGTAATATATTTACCAATAACTGTACGATACGTGTCCTTTCTATCGGTTATGAATATAATTATACGGGGAAAGTTTGTACGGTGAAAGTTGATAATTAAAATTTGCAATACGGTTAGTAAACGAACTAAACGAGGAAGATAGGTTTCTTTAGAAAGCGTTAGAAGCTATCGTTGGAGGGAAAACGAAAAATTTACGAAAGAAGATTCACCTGCATATAAGTTCGTATACATTGTCTTCTAATCCAAACCTAATAATTTCTTCGTTGCTGTCTTGTTGGCTAATTTTGTTAAGCACCTCCAAGCAGGAAATAACGATAAACCTGTCTTGGGATTCAATTCCCTTTGCTACGCACGACAATACAACATCGGTTATCCTTTCACCAGCTTCTTTCAAGATTATTTCATTCGCTATGTTGCCTAGTATATCGAAACCAAGTTGGTGCAAATTACTCCACCTTGCCCGCACACAGAGCAATACGAATCTCAAGAAACATCGATTTCTTCCTAATACAGCGGCGTTTTCCGGAGTGAAACTTAAATTCCGTAAGATAGATGCTATTTGTAGCACACGTTGACCATAAGGATCCTGCGTTCCGAGCGTCCGTCCGACACAAAACAAATCTTTGTCCTCCTCTTCAAACTTTATGGAGTTTTGATTTTGATCTTTCAGAATTTCATCTTGATGCGAGCCGGTTGGATCCAATCTTGGACAGTCTGGTATCACCTGCAGCGATACATATTTTCCGATTACGAAAGGAAAACGAATCTCGTAACGTGGCGCGATAAAACGTGCGCAGTAACACCGTCGTAGGTACAGTTTGCTCGTTAATTAAACTCAAAGGAAGCAACTTAGGAAGCAAACTTAAAGGAGACGCGCGCACGTAATATCCAATTCCATCTTACCCCGTCGACTTCCATCGACGTGGAAGCCTCGTCGTTCTCCGTCGACGCTGCGTTTCTGTTCTGCTTCTCTCTCTCCAAGATTTTCCGTCTGGAGAAGGTCTGCGGACTGGCGGTTGGTTTCTTCATAAACGTCCTCTCGTTCGTAAGATCTATCACGTCCTGGGAGTCGAGAACGTCCGACCAGAACGAGTTGATCGAGTAATTCCTCACGCGAGAATAGACCTCGATGAAGAGCTGCCGTGTGCCGGGCGAGTCGAAGATACCGGCGTGCGCCAGCAGTATGTTGACGAGACGGGGATACTTGTCGAGACGTAGGATGTGCTTGCCTTCGTTCGACAGCAACGTGCACACGTTGATGGCGAAGTCTTGTTCGTTGGGAAGAGGCGAGAGAAGCGACAGCGCGAGTTTATCGTAGTTGGATGGCTTGTAGAGGTCCGACGAAAGGCCATTGTAATCACGAAGAGATTCTAAAAAAAAGACACGCGATAAAATTAATTTATTCTTACTAATTGGCGATGGAGAAGTCTCGTCTCGTCTCGTTCATCGTTGCTACGGTAATCGATGTTTTGCGAAACGTTGCGAACCATCTCGAGTGATTTTTCTTTCCGTTAATAATACGCAGCTACGTGAAATACGATGGCAAACGTTCGCACGAATTAAGACAACCGTTCGGACACGCCGAACAAACGAATCTAGATCTCTTCCGATCTCTTCCTATCGAGCCGTTAACTCGTTTCGTTACCTCTCGGAATATCGTTAACAACGTCCAACCGCTAAATCCAAAGTATCGGTTCAATAGACAGACGTGTGATCGCTCAACGTTCTCAAAGTTAGAGAAATTTTCGCCGCGTAACGTAACGATATACAAATTTAACTAGTGTTCTCACGAACCTCGACAAAGTTTGTCTACTAAAACTAATAAATCGAAGTGTGGTTGTCGCGGCGCTTGTTGCGCATTTTTAAATGCCAGTTTAGTAGACAAAGGTAGAGCCACCTACTTCGCTCTTCCCTGCTCGCTGTCGGAGAATAGCCAGTCGAGTGGAGAATTTAGTATAGTCGTTATTCCAGTGGCTGGTTTTCTAAAAGCGAACTTTTTCGCTCTACCATTTATCATATTTATTAGACGTATTTTTTACACGTATCGTTAATGCTGAGAAAGAAGCGCGTCTCTTTCCAACGGTGTATCAATGTTCGAACGCTGTTGCAAACGGTTCTTTTATAAACAAAGGAAGACCGGGAGATCCGCTCGCTACTAGCCGACCGGCGACGACGCCTCGTGCAACTGGTGCGATCGACGAATCACGAATGTAAGTAGGTTGTACACGGTCAGGGCCAGATTTCTACGAAGCAACGAAAATATCTGGATCGGACGCGCCATTTTTCACCCAACCAATCCTCCCATTGATCGACACGGCCGTTTCAAGAATTTTCTTCATACTTCGAGTTTACTGTATACCGTACGTGTACGCGCGGTATGGTTGTGCGGAATAATTGGAGAAAAAAAAAAAAAAAAGAAAGAAGAAGATCGATATTCGATCGAAGAGAAGCAAACTGTGCGAAACCGGAGAATTAGATCGGCTAAAACAGTGTAGCTCGTTTCCGATCTTTTAAATTGAAATAATCGACAGACAAAGTCAACCGTTATACTCTTAACGATAAATCGGATTACGTGGATTTCAACGAGATATGCGGCGATTCGCATAAATCGTAAGGCAAAATTAAGATGGATGTTCTTTCATTCCGAGATATTTATATCTTCATTCGCTACAGGGTACGATAGTACAACTAAAATTAACTACTTCTGCCGGCTGCCTGGTAGAGTGGGCGTTCGACTATGTATAAAAAGCGTGTAGTACTTGGTATCGATATCGATAAATATCGACGAATCGATTAATCAAACTATATAAACACGCGCTCCGTCGTATTAGTTTTATCGTTTTCAAGAAAGAAGAACGAAAGAAAGAATACGAGCTTCGACGGAAGAAAGATAATTCGCGTGGATTAGAATTGCACGTGTTTCACACGATGCTAGAGGCGAATCGTGCTTTCTTTCTAACGGTGTAGGCACAAGGTTCGAACAGACTGGAACTTGCGATATTATCGCAAATCGCGGTAATCTTTTGCAGCCGCAAAACCGCGATCAATATCGCGCGTCCCGGGAGAAATGCTACTTTTGGCCGGAAACTACGGAATCCGTCGGCGGAAGCCTAGGGAGGGAGGAGAAACGGGGCAAAACGAAAAACGCGCGCGCGGTAAGGACGAGAAAAAGGATCGCTAATAAAATTCTGTCCGTCCAGATTCTTTCGTATTCGCGTTTCTGGTTGAACCAGGCGATAAAAGATACGAATTATCTTGTAACGCGGCTCGCTTTACGTTTAAGCTTTCTTTCCCGCTTCTTCTAGAAAAGCAGCCTCGTTTTTGCTTTTTTCTTACCAGGTAAATTCGAAGATCGTTCGCGATCCGAACAAACGAAGCTTACGCTCCATGTCCAAACAACCATCAGATCTAGAACGTTATCAAAGAAATATTTCCTTCTTTTCGCATCTTTTCGCTCTATCTTTCGCCATATCTTTTCGTCGATTACGTTTAATTAGTGGCTATCCCTTACCGGAACACCAGTGAAACGTTCATTGAAATATTAGGCTTGATATTTGCATCTAACGATCGCCAATATCGCAAGTAGTACGCGTCGTAAATTACCGATCGACGTAAATATCAACGATTGTCGATATTACGCGACAACACGATCAACCTAATCTTTTCTTCGATATCGATCCGTTTGTCAGCAAGTTGCGAGAAAAATTCATGGAAAAAGGTTACGCAATGGGGATTATGGGTGGTCAGTTTGAGAAAATAAGCAAAATCGTGGCAAGAATAATTCTTGGCAATAATCGAGGACACTTTCGAAAACGACGCGAAAAGGCCATTCTTGGCAGGAGTAACGAGTTGTCTTTGATCAGCCAAGTAAAGATTCGCTTCCAGGCCTATGAGTCGTCGCAGAACTTTCCTCGCGCTACATCTTACGTCCTAATTTTATCGTTTCATCGTTCCAGATACGCAAGATCCCATTACTCGTTCCACTAGCAATTACGATTTTCAATCGCGACACCTAAACCAACGGCAATCGACGTAGCAACTTGACAACGCTCGACTTATCGTTTCTTATCGCGCTTCCTTCAAATTTCATCATCCGCTTAAACGCAATCGTTAAAGTCTAATTTCTATAAGTTTTGCCGTTTCACTGTCGACGTACTGCCGCGAAGTAAAGTCGAAATGACGTTTAATTCGCGCGTTTGCGCGCCTGCACGATCCGCGGAATCGCGTTTAATAACTGCAATTGCTGCTCGTGCAATGCCTATCAACTCCGATTACTCTACTCCTATCCTCTTCACCGTCTTGCCTTTAAAACGTGGCGCGAAACAACATTCCGATTGACTTGTTAAATTCTAATCGACTTTGTCGCCTATCGAATGCTTTTTCATTTTCTGTTTCTTTGACTTTGAGTCTGAAAATTAATATATATACGTTGTTGGTATAGAACAATTACTGTTAATCCCATTTTCGTCGACTCGATGTAGTCATTTCCATTTATATCCTACGTTTCTATATCATCGGCGAAAAAAAGGAGAAACGATTTATCATCGCGAAAGTACATATAAAGTTCGCGTGTTAATAATCCATGCAGAATGCTTGACACGCTGCCAAATGTCGGCGGAAATTCTAAAAGGAGGCGCTCGTAAACCGTTTTAACGCGACTCTCCGTGTCGATGAAAATAGTGTAGTAAACCAACGCCGTTGAAAGTTCATTTTCTTCTTACAGTTTTACCATGAAAATTCGCAGTTCGACGACGATCAAACAATACGAATACCTATCACGGTAACGGCAATAGGCTGTATACGGCACGCGTGTGTACGTGCATCGACGCAATACCACCGAGGTTATTTCTCGTTCTTCATGGCCGATAACAATGACAGGAGCACGGTGTCCTCCAGCGCTCGTCGTCTTTTCCCGCGTCCCGTCAACGCACTCGCGTGTAAATCAACGACTTTACAGAAGAGCGACCGATAAACGATAGAAGAGTAATTTAAACTCCATTGTGCTTCTCCCGCGTAAACACTGAAAACTGCTAAGAAAAGGCGGATCGAGCTAGGTTTCAGCGTGCGATTATCCGTCGTACGCGATATAAACACGAGACGATAACCGTTTGAAAGTAGAGAGAGAATATTTATATTTCATTTGTATCTTTCGTTAGGAATCGTCGATTACGCGTTAAATACCGCGTACTAAATACGAGAAACATTTCGCTCAAATGTCAGAGTGGTCTCGACTACCTAGTAAACCTCTTATCCTATCAAGCACTTTGGCGATCACTAAAGTTATTTAAAGCGATAACCCTTCAACTACGCGCGTATATGCACATACTCGAAACGCATACGTCCAAGCATGCCAGTCCGACTCTCGGTCAGCGTGACGAGTTAATTAATCGATAATTTGATCGAGTCTGTCTGTCGTTAAATACGAAGAGAGAGAGAGAGAGAGAGACAGAGAGAGAGAGAGAGATACACGACGAATCGTAGGAGGTTAAGGGCATTGTTTTACCAGCGAGTAGTGCGCAAGGTGTGTAGGGGGCGCTGCGCACGCGACGCCGCTAATTGGCCTTAAAGGACAAACGCCGCGCCGTTAACAAGCTATCGCCGCTGTGTGCGTATGCAGTGGCACAACCGGCTCCAGGGCATTCGTATATCGATGGCACGCAGTCTAGTCTAGACGTCACCAATCGCGAGAGTAGCCGGTTCACCTGGATGACGCTAGAATTCAGGCGACGTAGCAACCGAGAGAACGAGTGAAACGGAGGCAGAAAAAGACGGCGACGGAGTGGGGATAAACGCGTAGAGCTGAAAAGAGTTGGTGGGGGTTAAAATCGGGAGCTACGGAGCATCGCGCAAGCGTGCAGAATGCTGTATTACGCTGGGAGGATCGAGGACTCACGGAACACCTATCCCCGCAAACGCTTATTGATTGTGACTCTCGCATCGTGTCTCCATCTCTGTCTACGCTTCTTTATCACACGCCCGTTTCTCGTTCCCACTACTACTACTACTTCTCTCTTTTGTTTTTGTATCTCTCTTTCGATCTCGATATTTGTTTCGCTTTTTCTCGAATTTTCCGCCGTTTTTTCTACCCGATCCACGTATTTCAACGTAACGAGATTCAAGTAGCCAACAGAACGTATATATAACCAAACGTTTTGCATTCGATTACATCGCATATATTATAGATTCGATCGTATCGTTGGGCTAATTCCGATCATCCAGTCAATTGCGAGCACCGGGCTTCGCGGAAAGTGAGGTTAAGCTTGGATTTTTAGCGAAGAAAATCTAAGAAACGCAACGAAATTTAACGCGAGCTATTATTCAACCGCCGAATATGTCATTGATATTTCACTCTTTTACGTTATATATGATG